GATTTGAGAAGTGTTTATTGAAAATTTCATTTGTACTTGATCTACAAAGGACTCGCGGAAACGATGAATACTAAAATAAATTTATTTTCAATGCTGGAGTTCATCGGTGTTTGCGCTGCCGCCGTCAGTGGATTGATGAGGCAGAAAGTTGCATTCATATGATTTTTGGAATGATTTTACTCTTTCGGCTACATATTACGTTATATGCATGAACTTCACAGGAAAAGTTTAATGTTTTTAGGTCGCGATCACCGTCTTCAATATAGCGGTGGCGGTCAAGGCTCTGGTGGTTTTGGTGGTCAACGGGGCTTCCAGAACAGTAGTGGTGGCGGTGGCGGTGGTGGTGGTGGTGGCGGATTCGGTGGCGGCTTCGGCGGTTCAACTCAACGTCAAAGTAATCGTGCTCCTCCGCAAGAGGATTGGTTTGGCAACTAATCAGGTGCTGTCAGTTCCCGCTACTAATTGTAATTGTCTAATTTATATCCTCGTCAATTGTTTGTGTTGTATCTTCTGAACTTCCTCACGTACAATAATTAGCTAGCTACTCTTCTTGCGTTCTCCACTTCGTCGTTCGTTCGTTCTGTGTGTGTTGTCATGAAGAGGCCCGTGTTCGGTGGGCGGTACGCGTCGCGTTTTATGGGACGAGCTAATGTCTCTTCTCCGTTCGGTTATTCTGAGTTCGGTGTGCTCGGCTCAAGAAGCTCTTTCGTCTGTCTCCTCCACCAGCAGTGTGGCCAGTGAGGCACGTTGGCGCTTTGTCGATTCTCGACCGTCTAAGTGAATGACTTCCTATTTCTGCTGTTATTCGTTCTCCCATTTCATGGTGTGCTATGGATTCGGCTGGTTCCCTGATACCGATAACAACTTGGCTATTAATTAATTTTTTGGTTGTTAGATCCTCTTTCTGTTTGTATCTCCAACATGTCTTCAATCATTCTTATCATTGTAACTGTTATCATAAGGCTTAATTCCTGTCATCTGACAAGTGAGTTTGTTTGAAATTAGCCATTTGTTTATCTTTACGCGACGCGTTTTGATCCCATTGACGACGGGTCTTCTTGTGTAATTCTTATTGAACATTCTCTTGATTGAATATTGTGGTTTTTGTAGACATGATAATAAAGTATCTGTTACTTGTAAGATTTTTGTTTGCTTGGTAAC